GAAACTGAGGTGACATTTAAAAGGGAAGCAGAAACTGGACGGGTCAAAGCTAAGATAGTACCTGAAGAAGACTTATATGCTGAAGAAGCAGAAGCTGAGGTGTCATTTGAAAGAGAGGCAGAAACTGGACTGATTAAAGCTAGGTTGGTACCTAAAGGAGAGTTATATCCTGAAGAAGCAGAAGCTGAGGTGACAATTGGATGGAAAGCAGAGACTGGACAGGTTAAAGCTAGGGTGGCACCTAAAGGGGAGTTAGATGCTGAAAAAAGAGAAGCTGAGTTGACAGTTGCATGGAAAGCAGAAACTAGACAGGTCAAAGCTAAAGTCGCACCTAAAGAGGAGTTATATGCTGAAGAAGCAGAAGCTGAAATGATACTTAAAAGAGAGGCAGAACCTGGACAGGTCAAAGCTAAGAAGGTACCTGAAAGGTGGTTAGATGCTGAAGAAGCAGAAGCTGAGGTGACACTTAAGGGAAAAGGAGAAACTAGAGAGGCAGAATTTGATAAGATAACTGAAAGGAAATTAGAAGTTGAAGGGACAGAAGCTGAGGGGAAGAGAGCAGAAGGCAAGGTTGCCTTGAAATGGAAGCCAGAAACTGGAGAGGCAGAGGCTGATGTGGTATCTAAAGGGGAATTAGAAGTTGAAGAAGCAGAAGCTGAGTTGACATTTAAAGGAAAGGCAATAGAGAAAGCACTTAAACAGAAGGCAGTAATTATAGAGGAAGAGGCTGATGTGATACCTAAAGAGGAATTAGAAGTCAAAGAGGCAGAACCTGAGTGGACACTTAAAAGGAAGGCAGAACCTGGACAGGCCAAAGTTAAGGTGGTGCCTAAAAGGGAGTTAGGTGCTGAAGAAGCAGAAGCCGAGATGACACTTAAGCGGAAAGGAGAAACTATAGAAGCAGAGTCTGAAGGGATAGCTGGAAAGGACTTAGAAGCTGAAGATGCAGAAGCTGAGAGGACACTTAAAAAGAAGGCAGAAGGCAAGGTAGCCTTGGAACAGAAGGCAAAAATTGTAAAGCCAGAGACTGAGGTAGCATTTGAAGAGAAAGCAGAAGTTAAAGTTGTACCAAAACTCCGGGAAGAAGAAACAGAAGATTCGGAAGCAAAGGGAGAAATGCTTTCTGTCGTCATAGGATCTCTGAATGAAACTACCTTTGGAGAGCAAGGGTTAGTCACCAGGAGAGAAGAGATTATAGCAGAAATAAAACATACTTCTGAATCAGCCCCACAAAAAGAAGCATTCGTTGGAGGAGAAATGAAAAAAGAACCTAGTGTCCAAACTGGAGTATCTGACAAGACTGGAACAAGGGAAACATTTCTTTACATGGAAGTACAGGAGGAAGTCATAGCTCCTGAAGAGGAGAAGGAACAGGATGAATCAGACACAGGAGATGAGATGAGAGAAGAAATGATAACACTTGCAGATGTAGAAGAAGCTCTCTTAATAGGGATACAGCAACTGATAACAGAAGTATCACAGATCAGTGAAAACGATAAAGATAAAGAAGAGCCTTCGGTGGAAAGATCAGCAGAAGACGAATCAACTCAGGAGTGTGCCACGAGTGAAGATTTTTTTGCTGTTGTAGTAGATGAAGAAAGGGAGATAATTGAGAGCAGTAACAGTGAGGAAGATGGAACTGGGGAGCATTCAGAAGGAACAGGAGAGCCTTCGGAAGAAGGAACAGGAGAACCTTCGGAAGAAGAAACAGGAGAGCCTTCAGAAGAAGGAATAGGGGAGCCTTCAGAAGAAGGAATAGGGGAGCCTTCAGAAGAAGGAATAGGGGAGCCTTCAGAAGAAGGAATAGGGGAGCCTTCAGAAGAAACCCCTTCAGATGAAAAAGATGAAAATCTGAACTGTGAAATAGGATTGGAGGAGACTACAGATGAAACAATCACAATGACAAATACCATTCTTTGGAGCTCCCAGGAGTATGAAAGAGAGTGTCACCAAGATCTTACTGGAACTGACTGAGAAGACAGACACCTAGACTGAAGGTGAGCATGTGCTGATATATTAAATTCCCTTCTCACTTCTATGAGTGGTATGTATCGTCTTCAACTTTAGGTACTTTACTAGAGATCTGGGAGTTTAAGGGTTCTAATACACTATATATCAGACCAGAAAACAGCAGTGGTGATAGATGTAATGGTATTAAGTAACAGCAACATCAGGAAAAAGGAAAAGATGGAGAAAATAGAGGGGATGTGGAAAATAAAGACCAAAGTGGTCCCAGAGTGGTCGTAAGATCACTCGGAGCTGTGACTCTTAAGCTGGCTGAGTGGCTCCATCAGATTCCATGGACAAAATCAGAGTTCTTTGTCCAGAAGAGTGCAATGTTAAGAACAGCTAAGGTGCTGTGCAGAACTGTCAAAGTCCCAAGCCTCTGGTAGAGGACCCGAGATTGAGAAAGATACAAACAACTCATAGGGCTGAGAAGGGAATTTTTGAATTATTATACATTTGTCAAATCATGTCTACTATCTGAGCTCTGGCCCCAGTGTGTCATGGATTAATTAAATGGATTAAGGCTTGCTTCACACTTGCCCCATAATATGGTGTGGCTTTCATTTGGCATGTTATCTGAAGCTATCCACTGTGATCTGTAAACTCTGGGGTATGGTGTACATTTATATATAAACTCAGCCAAGAACATTTCTTCAATAAACCATGCTCAACCATTATAGGAATTAATTAATCCTAGTAATTCACTGGGGATATATATTTAATTCTTTGAGAAAGAAATGATTGTGGGTTAGACTTATTTAAAGAAGTTATTTACTAATTGATTTAACACCTTGAAACCATGATTCGTGATGAGTTTATAGCAGCTTCTTGGACAAGGTTTAATACTGTATTCCACTGTAGTAATGCTTCAGTACTGTTATTTGAGCTATAGATTTGGTGTTTAATTAAAATTGGGTTTTTGTCTGCACAGCTAATCCAGTGTGCAATAGGTTGCACACTAGATCTCCCAAGTGGTGAGAAGGTTTTGGGTGGACAGTGCTGATCTGGGTTTGGCTTCCTTTGATGCAGAAGATCATTGATGGTTCGGTACTGCTTGAGCTTATTTGAAAATAAAGCTCAACATACAATTTAAGCATTTCAAAAAGCATTTCATTACTGCCCAATCGATTATCCAGAGGAAAGCACCTCTTTGTCTGTAGTAGCTGATAGACCTTGGATTTCCTTTTCCTCCTCATCTGTTCATATTCCGACCTTACTTAAATCATTCCTATCTGGCAGAGAAGAGAGACGGAGAGAAAGATATATTTTCCCAAATGCTAAAGTTGTCCCGAGCTATTTCCTTGTCATTCTCAGCCACTTATGTGCAATTTCCCTGACACTGGCAGTTTGGTCTGCTGATCAAAAGGGCACTTTAATATGTCCTTTTGGCCCCATTAACTCTTTTTCTAAACCCTCAACTTAAAATTGAACTCATAAGTATTTTCTTCAACCTGGTATGTTCCAGATGTGGAACTTTTGCATTTCCCCACCATATGTCTAGTCTATCATCACATCTCTGTTCTTCTAAAGTAGTCCAGTTAATGGGATACAAAAGTGACCTACCACATTATAGTATTTTCTAGTTGTAATCTCACCCTCTGCATATACCATTAACTTGAGACTGAGGCGGGAGCTATACTTTTTGCTTGCCCCGTTGCCAATAAAGACTACTTGCCACTTCTTATTTTGCCTTGAAAAAAGTGTGTTGAGCAATCACCCTGCATATCAAACAACTGAAAGCCAAGGAAGCCACTGCAGTGTTTCATTATTACCATAGATTGCTTCTTCCTGATATAAAGATACAGAAGAAATGCTTAGGTATTTTGCTTCTAAAAGTGCTATAGTTTCCAGACTTCAAATTCTGAATCACAAGTTATGCTAATCAGGAACTAAATATTGAATGGTAAATGTTACGCTAATTATTGTTTGCATGTGAACCCTTCCTAGATTTAAAAACAGCACTGTCCTCTCAACTAGGGACAGTTGAGAAAGAATATGTCCCTCTTTAATGGGCTCGATTAAAATAAATCCTCATTTGTGCTGCCTCAAGAATCTACAGCTATTGTGGGAGATGTGGAAATGTATATGCAACGTATTTTCATATGTGGTGGACATGTAAGGAGGTTAAAGTATTTTGGATTAAGATTTGGTGGAATATCCAAAATATTTTTAAGAAAAAGATAAAGTTTAAACCACAGATATTCTTGCTGGGTATTTTGGAAGATTTGGACGCAAAAGAAGTGGAGTTGATGTTAAATCTTATAACGGCTGCAAGATTATTAATTGCTCAATATTGGAAAATGAAAGGTTTACCTAATATAGAAGATTGGGTAGTTAAAGTCTCAAACTTAGCTGAAATGGCCAAGATTTCCGCTTATGTGAAGGATTACTCACAAGAAAGATNAAATACCATTTGGTTTTTGAATGAATTTTTGATTTTATTTATAACTATGTTAATTTGATGATATTCAATAACTGTATATTTGTTTTAAAAGAGAGTTAAAGGAAGTTATAGATTTGTTAGATTAATAGTTGATTAATATTAGTTAGATCATGATTATTTTATTGTTAATCCTGTGATTGGCTCTGGGAAGGAGGGGGGGAGGGATGGAGGGTTGGGTTTGGGGGGAGGGGGGATTTATATTGTAAAATTTTATAAAACTTTCAATTAAAAAAAAAAAAAGAATCTACAACTATTTTTTTAAAAAATGCTGGGGCTGTACTTGTCTCTTTTAAATTTCCAGAGAATTATCTCCTGTACCAGTGTTTCTCAATCTTGGCAACTTTAAACTGTGTGGAGTTCAACTCCCAGAATTCCTCAGCCAGCATTACTGGCTGGGGGAATTCTGAGAGTTGAAGTCCAGCCAGCTTAAAGTTGCCAAGGTTAAGATAGAATGCTCTATATCCTGTAAACTAATCTTGTATTTGTTTGTTTTCCCAGAATGCTTTCGGGTTGGAACTTCCCATCTCATCATTGCTGCCTCAAGACTTGGTGGAAACACAGACTTATTCAAGCATCTTCTTATATTCATTTGATGCTTGCCATCCATCTTTCCATTGTTGTCCTGACTACCATGATTATTTAGTAACTTTTTTCAAGAAAATCATTCTAGATTGGTGCCACCTGGGGCAACTGCCCTCTTTGATTCCTTCACACACTTCTGCCACTATGCACCAGGACTGCTGCAGACAAACGAAATCCTATCTAACTTATTTCATTTATAGCATTCCTTTATAATTCTAAAAATATTGATGATGAGGCCTGTATAACAGCTGCCGCACATTTCTTTTAAAAACAAAACAGAATTATTATGTAACGGGAACTTTCCCAAAATCAACCAGCTAATTCTGCTGCACAGTAAGAGTCACTTGAAGTCTTTATGTAGAACAATAAAACACCTGCAAACAGATTTGAACATTTGTATGTATTTTATGGCCTTTTTCCTTCCCTTTGTATCTTATGTGTTCTTTTTAAATTTAGCAGAAGGGAAGTGCCTGACGTTCACTCACATTCTCCAAAGAGTCGTATGGGGTGACTCCTGATTAGATTTTTGAAAGATTGTCATTGGTCTTGAACTTAACTCTGTGCATAATGTAGAAGGTAAAATTGATTGATACCACAGCTAAAAGGGGAGCTGCATCATCCATAAAGACCGATATTAGCAATCCTCAAGTTACAACCATAATGGAACCTGCCCTTAATGGTTGTAACTCACGATGGTCATAAAGCAAGTCAGTTATGTGACTGACCTGATTTTATGAACTTTTTTTTGCTGTGGTCATTAAATGAACCCTACAGTCATTAAGCAAACTTACGGTTTTCTATGACTCGTTTTTTTCCAAAAACCAGAAGTAAATGCTGGTTTTTGGCAAAACCATAATAAAAATGTGGTCACATGACTGCAGGATGTTGCAAATGGCTGTAAATCTGTCCAGTTCCCAAGTGCCCAAAATTTGATCACGTAACTGGGAGGTGACCATCCAAACTTTGAATATGGGTCATAAGTATCCCTTAGATAGGGCCATCAGAACTTCAAATGGTCGCTAAGCAACCAGTCATAAGTCAAAGACTACAGTACCTTATAATCAGATTGCTGCTATATGCTGTGTGCTGCTGTAGGTATAAACAAGGATAATTCATTCAGTCATATGATTTATATCTTTCCACTTTTTGCTATGGGCTTGGATTCAGACTGGGACTTGCCTGAACAAAAGGTGTGGGGACTGAAAATCTCTTGTTTTGCACCGGGAATTCAGCCATTATCTAGATAGGTGACATCATTTATCAGTACAGCTACCTTGAAAAGTACTTGCATATGATGGATTCTAGATTCTACAAAGCTTTCTGTTATTGTGCAGAAATACCACGTACATCTGCTCACAAATAAATTCACAAGAAAAAGAATGAGAGAAAGTGAGAGAAAAGATCTCTGACCGATCCCTACATTTTAAATTGAAAAGCTGAGGAGAAAGAGTGATGCCAGAATACCAAATCAATAATGTTACCAAATCCATCAGAGCCAGACTTTCAGTGTTCTTCATTACTTTCATAGTTTTCTTATAATTTTCCCATTGGCTGTTATGAGCCCTGAAAATGTAATGTATTAGAAGTTGGTCTTTCAACACTAACAACTATATTGGTTAAAGCTCTTAAATTTATTCTTTGTAAGAGTATAGCCTTCATCTCAGAAAACAGTATGCTGTTTGTTTTGGAAATTTTAGGAAGGATTTTCCCTCCTTCTTTTTTAACATTTATAAATACAGGAGGGGGGAAATGACAGAACATGACATCACAGTGCAAACTACATTCCTTAGGTACTTATCTTTTGGGACATTGGGACACAAAAGGGCAGAGCTTGTAGATTGATGTCATGACACCAGTTTTGCCATTTTGGCATCATTGCCATGGACCCCTGTGGTTATAATGGCTTAAATCATACATCGTTCTAAGTCACAGTGCTTTGCTTGATTTGGGCTTAAGGTAATATATGAATCTTACTGTGAGTTTGTAAACCCTGGTTTATGGCTTTAGTAAGTTCTATGAACCCAGTCAATAAAGCCTGATTAAATCAGCGGCAGTGTTAATGTAGCATCTCAACCCAGCCAATGTAAGTAGAAAAAAAAGCAGTGGATTGCCCAAGTACCAGAGTTTCACAGGTATTTGGCTTCTAGCTGCACACTCGTTTCTTATTTTTGTCTAAATTAATTTTTATATGTTTGTAAAATAACAGAGAAACTGGAATAGGAATTTAGGAAACATTTGTTATTACATGCAGTGATATTAGTACCCACCTAGAAGGAGATTATTCTGTTGATCAAAATGCCCTCTTTTCAATCTGCCGATATTCTGCATTCTCCAGAACACACTGTCTTGCAGCAGAAGTCTCACCAAATCTGATGGATTTGGTTCCGAGTGAATAGGCACAGTATTAAGCTGTGTGTCATTTAACCATCTGTCTGGCAGCAATTATTCTGAAAACCTACCAACCTACAGTTGCCAAAGCAGCACACATTAATGTCTGAGAACAAAAGCATTAATTGAATACTGTTTCATGCCATGTTTAGGGAATTGGTTCCCATTGCCTTATTATATAGATTCTACACTAGGATTTTATACTATGGTAGCACTGAACAAAATTTCTGTCAGCATGTTAGAAAGCAGGATTAGGCAGCTAAAGGCCGCAAGGTGACATATTTTATTTATTTATTTACTTACTTACTAAGTAACAAAAAGTACTGAATTTCATGAAAATTTGCATGGCCAGTGGAATGTTTTGCTTGCTCATCCAGAGTTTTTATTAACAGGACATTGGTTTGAATTAGTACAAAGTGATAATATTTATTTTTACGCTGTAAAGTGGTTCATCAGATTGTTGCAATCCAGCGTTCACAGTTGTGGACAAATGTTTAAGGTTAGAGAGATTACACACAGTCTGAGTGTCATGGCTCTGACAGACAGAGACAAATAAAGCAGAACTCCGAGGCTTGGAAATTCCTCAAAGAAAATGTTTATTAGTTACAAAGTATCAGCACGTCAAAAGTAAAACCAAGTCTGAAGACACATGTAACAATTTCCCAATACAAAGTTAAGAAATCCCACCTCTAAAGCTATGCAAGCAACTACGTTCCCCAATACATCTTCTTGGGCTTTTCATGAAACGCCCAGCCAGCAGTCTTGGGAGCAGCCGATGACCTTGGTTCCCACGGGACAAAAGATTATTTTGACTAGCGAAGTACTTGGCAATCCTCCCTCCCCCCTTTCAATGTGTCAACCGAAAATGAATAGGGAAAATGGCCACAACCGTGCTCATTTTCAAAATTGACACTGAGATTTAAGGCCAACTTGTCATTGACTCAAATGATGTGATCAGATTTGATTTATGAAAGTTCTAATGGGTGATGCAAGGTTCATTCTCACTTCATGGTGAGAGTTGTAATCCATGTTTTGTACTATGATGAGTACAGATGTAATGGAAAAATAGTTCCTATATGCTTAATTGTTATATGTGTGTCAAATAATTTTTGTAAAGATCATTTTCCTCGCAGAACCATGCCATTGTTAAATTGAAGCATGCATGAGATATCTTTGTTTAACCAACATTAATACCTGATTTGATTTTCATTTCCGATATTTTGGGATTTTCAAAACAGCAGACATAAAATGCTCAGAAAAGTATCTTATCTTTTTCATTTAAAACAGTGATATTGCATATGTGGGAATATGATGAACTGAAGAGAGCTCCACAAAAGTAGAGCAACTGCTTTATAAGTGTAATAATTTAAAGAATCTGAAATAAACAGGAAACTATTTTGTTCTGATAAAGCAATACATAGACTAAGGGTCCAGATAAAATTGGAATATTGAAACTTTTAGAATAAAATTATGGAATTAATTACAAAATACAAACAGTTTCTCATGGGAAATCGATTTTGTTTAGGTTTTTATAACACATTGATAAAGAATTTTATGATTTGAAAAACTGGACACTAAGGGAGACTAAAGATTTTAGGTAGAAGAAAGATATGCAAGATGGTGCAAATTGTAATGACATTAAAACTACTAGAAGAGACTTTTGAAGAATGGAATCAGAAAATAATACCCATAATATCAACAAAGAGTAATGATGTCTGCTTCATGGATATGCTATATTTAAAATATATCATTGAAGAAAAGTCAGATGTAGAACAAAAGTTATCTGACAATATAGAGATGATATTGAAAGTAGATATATACCTCTTAGGTCAAGATAATGATTTTAAAAAGAGTCTAGAATAAAAATTGGTTTTGGATTTTCAAAAGAGGCTTGTTTAGAAGACTATGCAATGGGACAAAGAAGAAATGAAGAGAAGTCCATTCTTAAAACAATATTTGAATAAACTAAAAATTAAGACTATTAGAAATAAAAGGAAGCAATATAAAGTTGGTACATCTGATCAAGGATAAAATATGTTGTTATTTTTAGCAACCCTTATAAATAAAAGGAAGGAATATAAAGTTGATATATAGAGCAAGGATAAAATAAGATATGTTGTTACTTCTAGCAACCCTTTATGAGTCTATAAAGGGTTGCTAGAAGTAACAACATATTTTATTTTATCCTTGAGAGAGACCAGGACTGAAAGGATGATGCTTTATGGATTTATTTATAGATAAGATGGACTTTGGGATGAAGAGATAAATGTAACTTTAGAGAGAGAGAAGAATTTATACTTGTTGAAATAAAGGTTGCAAGTTTTTATATATTTCTTTTTCTTTAGTATATTCTTACCTTTCTTTTTCTTCTTTTTTTCTCTTTTTCCTTTATTTTTTACTCCTGCTTATTTTCTTTTCTTTCTTTAAGTTTAGTTTGTATTAGATTTTAATATTATAATCATTGTAGCATTTCAGATAATGTAAGTTCTCTGTCATGTTTTATGCAACACTTTTTTTATCAAGGTAGAATTCTCTTTGTGGAAGACAAATTGAAGCATGTTTTGTTTTTCATTCAAACAATATATTTCAATGTATCCATCATAATATATAGTCCTTTTTGTTTTTCCCACTTTTCAAGGTAATATCTTTGTTTCTATATTTTTATGGGGGAAAATTCTTTATACTATAAGTTTATATACAGAGGAATATATGATATGTCCATAGTATACCATACAATTGTTTATACATTTATTTTTTATTTATTATGCTTCTATGCTGCCCATCTCACTACAGAGGCTGCCCATCTACAGTGATTCGGGGTGGCTTATAATATAATTACAAGTAAAAAAAGTACTAGAAAAGAAAAAAATTAAATAGAAAGGCTAAAAACCTAGATGATGGACCCCCTGAAAATGGAGATTTTTACCTGGTCAGCCACATCAGAAAAGGCTCTTTATTGGACCCCACCAGTTGAAATTCTTTGGTCTATATGGGATTC